TGATGTATTTTCCCATCTCTCCTTCCTCTGACACATATTCTACCAGCTATCTCTACCACCCTCTACTGTCTGGCAGTCCTCTAGCCACAGATTCAACAATGAACAAAACCACAGTATGACATGCTGGAATATAAGTGACAATACAGCAAGGGTTTCTGTTTTGTATGGGCAGCTTAGGCCCACAAGTGTAAGGGAAAGCCTGAGGGAGGGTAGAATATGAGCAGGTGTGCACAGCTTCTGATTACAGGAAGCAAAACACATTTTATTTGATGAATATCAAATTGAAAGTAATGAGAAAGGGTGCTACCTAATTGTCGCCAAAACTGCTGCTTGGTTTAATTTAGGCTCAACTAGATTTTGCTGTATGCCTTAGGGTCTGAAGGCTTAGGCTCTTGAGCCCTTGTTTATGCTAAAACTATTTTTTTTTAGTTTATTTGAAAGACATTGCTTAAACTTTAATGATTCAACAAGTAAGAAAATACCCTGAGATTCAGAGCTTTAAAAGGAAGTTTTGATTCACCATTTTACTGGATGACTTTAATGGAATTATGTCTTATAAAGCTGTTTAGCGTTTCATGTTTCAGAATTCTGCATAGAATTCTCAATACCCTAGAGCATCTTGGCATTTTTTTGAGTCTTATGACTTTAGTTACAAAAGCCAAGAGAAAATCATGGCAGCATCCCTTATAAGATTAACTAAATAATACTGTGATATTATACTATTATACTGTATTAAAATATTAGTTCCAGGAATGTAGTACAGTGTTGGTTAAAGGCAAAGGTAACTTGCTATCTAAATCTTCAAGATTAGTAATAATAATCACAGGACACAAGATCAATACAATCACAACTGCCTTTTAAAATACATTTTTATTTCCCTGAAATGATTGGTCAAGAAGTACTGAGATCAGATTTTGCTATCAGATCTTATTTCAAGTTCAGTATGACGTTTTTAGGTGAGGAATGGCTATGCTTGATGGAAGTTGGACCTATGTTTTTGTGGCTGCTGCTAAGCAAAAATAGAGTGTGCAGAAAGCAGTTTGACAGTGCCACAATAGGTTAAACAGACTTACCTGTGACTCAGGAGTTTCACTCCTTGGTATATGTAACCCAAAGAATTGAAAACAGGTGTTTACACAAAAACTTGTACACAGATGTTCATAGCAGCACTATTCACAACAGCCGAAGGTGGCAACAACCCACATGTCCATGTACGTATGAGTGGATAAACAAAGTGTGGCACATTCATACAATGAACAATAGTATGATAGTACAATGAATAAGAATTCAGCAGTGAAAAACGATGAAGTCCTGATACATGCTACAACATGGATGAACTTTGAAAATGTGCTGAGAGAACCCAATCACAAAAGAATACATATTACATAATTCCATTTATATAAAATATCCAGAATCTGGCAAATCTGTAGAGATAGCAGATTAGTGGTTTCTGGATAGGGAGGAGGATTAGGAAGGAGGGAAGAAAGAGGTGTGGTTGCTCAATGGGTATGAGGTTTATTTGGGGTGATGGAAATGTTTCAGAACTAGATAGAGGTGGTGGTTGTACAACATTGTGAATATACTAAATGTCACAAATGGGAAATTTTATGCTATGTGTATTTTACTACAATAAAAAATGGAATGTGTGACTTTTGATTTTTAATTCTTTGTGAATCCTACTAAAGTTTAACAGGGCGGGGTGAATCCTGAAAAACACACATGTGTCAAATGCGGGGCAGAGTGGCGACAGCCATCTGAGGTCTGCAAGGTGAGGCTTGTACATCCTGATTGAGATCCCTGGTGCAGGAACCTGCCTCACGTGGGCACAGCAGCCACACAGGCAGCCGCTCCAGGAGCCCCTGATGCCCTGCAGGGCTGTCAGCAGTTTCAAGTATAGCGCAGTTTGTTTGAAACTCTCATGTAACGCCATGTAAAACTGGAATACTGAGCTGTTTAAAACCCAAGCATACAGAAACCCAGCAGATATAAATTTTAACTGCAGTGAAGCCAGGATAATTTCAGTTTATCCAATGAAAAGGAAAATAAACTTTTATGTTCTGGTGGTGCTATAATAAGTTTAGTGAAAGATGTATGGAAAGTTTCTAGTTATTGCTTCACATGTCCTTTTTCCTTGTCCTTGGGAGCATGCCACTTTCTCTTCTTCACGCCATATTCTACTCTCAAAAGGAAATGCTTTCAAATGTTTTTTTTTTCATTTAGACAATGAAAATAATATTTGATTATTACAAAAATTCAGAAAAAAATGGAAATACGTTTTGTTTTAAAAAGACATCTCAGCCATTCAGGATAATACTATTGATGTTTTGGCATGCATCCTTCTGGTCTTATTTCTATGACCATATGTGCACCTGTATTTTGATTTTTCACTGGGATCATACTACATTTATCAACATAGCATGGACATCTATTACCAATAAATATCAATCAATACCATACTTTTCTTTTTTTTAGAGGTGGGGTCTTGGTCTGTCACTCATGCTGGAGTGCAGCAGTATGATCATAGCTCACTGCAGCCTCAAACTCCTAACTTCAAGTGATCCTCCTGCCTCAGCTTCCCAAGTAGCTGGGATTATAGGTGCATGCCACCATGCCCAGCTTTTTTTTTTTTTTTTTGGTAGAGATGGGTTCTCACTATGTTGTCCAGGCTGGAGTACAGTGGCATGGTCAGAGCTCATTGCAGCCTCAAACTGCTGGATTGAAGCAATCCTCCTGCCTCAGCCTCCCAGACATCATAACTTTTTTTTTAACTTTTAGATATATTCTTCTATAATCTTCTTTTTTATTTCTATTTATTTATTTTTCTTTTTTGAGACAGAGTCTTACTCTGTCACCCAGGCTGGAGTGCAGTGGCATAATCTCAGCTACCACAACCTCTGCCTCTTGGGTTCAAATGATTCTCATGCCTCAGCCTCCTGAGTAGCTGGGATTATAGGTGTGCGCCACCACACCCAGCTAATTTTTGTATTTTTAGTAGAGATGGGGTTTCACCACGTTGGCCAGGCTGGTCTCGAACTCCTGACCTCAGGCGATCTGCCCATCTTGGCCTCCCTAAGTGCTGGGATTATGAGCATGAGCCACCGCACCTGGCCCCAAACATCATACTTTTAATGATGGTGTAGTGTTCCATTTTACACACATGGCATGACTATTTCTTGACCAGTGTTGTAGAGGAGCCAGGGGCTTTACTTGGAGTGGCTCTTTTGTGGTTACTTAGCCCTGTGTCAGTGATGGTTGGTGACTCAGGTTTTCTGAAATTATTTTCTCTTAGTTTTTAAATAATGGTTAGTGATAGCCCCCAAAGCAGAGATGACAGACAATAAAGGCAATAGAGGTTCATAAAAAATCAGCTTAAACCCCACTGCCTTTAGGCAGATTTCCTGACTGAGCCCCACTCCATCAGTTCTCTCCACCTTCTGTGTCCCAACAGAAGAGGGATAGAGTAGTATGCAAGAGCATGGGCTTTAGAGCCAGACTACATGGGTTCACATTCTGGCTTTTGTGACATTAGGCAGGTTACTTAACATTTCTCTGCCTCAGTTCACATCTGTACAGTGGGGATAATAGTAGCACCACCTCCTAGGCTACATGTCAGAAGTCCCTGCTAGCACAGGACCTGGCACACAGTTAGTACTCAACAAATGGCAGAAGTTATTGCTATTACTGTTTATTTAAGTGGCCCTACCAGTTTCTGGCTTTGAAAGTTCTTCTATATGCTTGGACAGTGCAAATAGATAACAGACTCGGAAAAGTTAAAATGCCAGAGAGCCTTTTACAGTGTTTTCCATATAGCGAGCCTCCTGCCAATATTACTAATTGGTTGTCTGACCTGACTTGCTGAAATTCTGGGATCATCTTGGTTGGATTTTGCATTCATTTCTCATTAAAAATATAAAAGCAAAACCAAATTTAAACAAAACAAAACAACCGAGGAAACTTGAGAAGTAGATGTAGATGAAATGAATTTCCTTTAGATAGGTCAACATCATTGCTGTAGGCTTTCCTAGACTCTATGGAAATTCTTGACTAGGAGAATCTAGAATTATTAAATGATAATGTCCAGAAATACCTGAAAGAACTGAAAGCATTTATTCTGAAAGACCTCTTTCTAGCAGAAGGCCAAATAAAATTTTCTATTCCCTTGTTTATTCAGGATTCTTAGAAACTGAATTATTTCCAGTAAATAAATTTTCTAGACAGTGGAAGCTTATTCCTGTAACAGCATAACATTTTGCATTTTAATCGTTTTGATGTAATTCTTTCTGATGTATGCTGCATAGTTTATGGCTTTCACACAGAGTTACATTGAAAACAATTCAGCCAATTTGTTAGGCCTCGAGTCTTCTTCATTGATATGTTGTTATTTAGTTTTTTAAGCTCTACCTAATAATCTCAGTATCATTTGCCTTCTAAAGATGCAGATAGCTGTATGCTTACATAGGTCTTTTAACGTTTCATTTTTTTCTTTTTTCTTTTTCTCACTGCTAGGGTGTGTCCATTTTTACTTTTTATTACAGAAATGTGCGTGATTGCTTTCCCTATCCCAAAACACCTTTCTAATTTATTAACTTAACAAATCTTATGTCCCAGGAAACCAGAAACACAAGCCTGTTACTATTTTGTGTAAGGAAGATTAATAGGCATTGAATAAAGTCATGTACTTGGTGACAGGTTTTTTGACCATTCAAGGCCTTTAAAAATTTACTTCCTGGTTGCAGGCTGTTATTTGGTAGGTGTTTGACTCTGGGCAAAATGCCATTTTTATTTATAAGCTACAGTGCCTATGATTTTCCATTCTGGCATTGGTGCCTTCCTGCTGCTCCCAAATTAAGTAGAGAAATTAAGTTTAAAAAAATCACCTGACCTCTGTACAGTTGGTAAAAGTTTTATAAAATGGAATTTGGATCTTTTAAATAGAAGGAGAGGTAAAATACTGTATTCTTATGTATCAGCTTATAAATGTTTTTCCCTTTTTATTACAGAGACATATTGATGTCTTTTACTGTTGGAAACCTCTCAGAACAAGAATTTGTAACCATTGTACGTCACTACCGTGCACCTGAGGACACCTGTTCAGATGTGGATTTCTTAATCGCACTGGCCCACGAAAAGTTCAAGAAAAATATGTTTGAGAATTTCGACAGTTTCATTTATTCCTGTGTGTATGAAGATCGAGAAAAGTAAGCTTTTGTTTTATTGATTCTAATCATTTACATTTCTGTGAACCTGAGTAATGAAGGAATTTCTATTTTATCAAAAAGGGCAAAAAGAAATTGACATGTGTCGTCATACTCATACTCTACTATTTAGCACAGACACCTTAAATCATTTTCGGAGAAGTATTTGGGTACATATATTTCCCAGTGATGGTGAGCTTTGTGTGTGTGTGTGTGTGTGTGTGTGTGTGTGTGTGTGTGTAATATGGCATCTGGTTCTGTCACCCAGGCTAGAGTGCAGTGGCATGACCTCGGCTCACTACAACCTCCACCTCCCAGGTTCAAGAGATTCTCCTGCCTCAGCCTCCTGAGTAGTTGGGACTACAGGCTTGTACCGCCACACCCAGCTAATTTTTTTTTTTTTTTTTTGTATTTTTAGTAGAGACAGGGTTTCACCATGTTGGCCAGGCTGGTCTTGTTGATGGAATAGGAGAGGCCCTGTACCTTTGAAAGAATAGGACTCTCCCTTGCATGTTCTTTTCATTTGTTTCTAGAAGCTTTCAACTGAAGCATAGTAAATCAAAATGTTAGAAGGGCTAATTTGAGTTGTGATCTTTTTACATTATTTTATTACTGATGGGGATTTATACATGTAACTTTTATAATAAACAGAAAATGGAATTTTCAAGCAAACATTCTGTAGAATTTCTTTGAAATTATTTCTTCTTGAAAATAATGAAGCTCAGCATAAGCTATTTCTTATACGTTGATTGTCTGCATGTTGAGCTTCATTAAGTCATTGTTATATACAACTGGATGCAAACATCTTAATTTTTTTTTATTCATCTTACAGACCTGATACAGTGGGGGAGAAATATAAATTTACTGATTTCATCTAGAATTAGAAAAATCTTAGTTCTCACTCTAGCTTTTAATCCTTATGCTGCACACCACTGCCATCTCTCTTCCTTGTGACCTCTTTCCTTATCCCCAAACTTGAAGTCTGCACCCAAGTGGCTAACTGCATACCCTGAATATCTGTGCAGGTCCCATAGTTTGTCTTAGAAATAAACATTTTTTTATTAATCCATAATGCATCCTCTTTGAGTTTTTATAAAGGTGGTATTTTTCCTTGACTCTTTAAGCTTCCCCAAGCTTTCTAGAAGATGTGTGACCTGAGTTTTGCATGGCCCTGGCCCTGCCTTCCACCCTGGTGGTGCCCCTTCCCCAGAGTGAGAAGTGTGGCCCTCCTTCATTCAAGGAACACTTCTTGGGAACAATGGGGCTGCTTGACCAGATAACCTGAGGTTCTTCCAGATCCAACAAGCTTTCATTCTAGATATAAACATTCTCATTGCAAAGAAAAGAGCCAACTTTCTTTCCTGTTGGTTCTAATTTTGCCTGATGCCTGGAAAAGTGTTGGCTGAATGAGAACATTGGACAAGCATTTCTTTGCCCCCAGAAGACTCTGCCCCAGAGAAAATGACTGTTGGGCTGCTCTAGAGAAAACTGCTAGCATCTGAAAAAATTGAAGTGAATATTGAGGCCCCAGCTGGGGCTTCCAGGTTATAAGGTTTTGGGTCCAAGGAAAAGAACAGAAAAACACCCTCAAGTCATATCATACTTGTGTTGGAGGCTCTAGATGCCTGTCAAATTAAGAGATGTTTTCAAATATCAGAACCATTTTTGACTAGTGGTCAAGAATGCAGATCAATTACTTAGAGCAACACTTGTGGCTGCAGCCTTAATAGGCTGTACTGTCACCAACCAAGAATCTGCATCTTGAAGGAAAAGCCTTTGTAAGGATGGAATCTGGTGGCCTCTGAAATAGAAAAAGTTGATGAAATGAAATATGACTGTTCTTCCTTATTGTGAATTCCAATGCCAATTTTCATACTTCCATGTGTACATTCTCAGGAAACATCACAAATGTATTTTCTTTCCTATAATATGTAATTGTTACTAAAGGTATACAAGGTATATGAAAGCTCATTTACTCTGTTTTAATGCAGAAAAAATGTATTACCCACCAAAGACATTAAAAGGCTGTGCAAATCCTCCAGATTACCTCTGAGTGATGATCTTCTAGAATCCTTATTGTCAAGGTAAGTTAGAGTTCCACTCTTGATAGGGATTGGCCTGCATAGTTTTATTTGGGGGACCATTCCTGGTTTTACATCTTCCTTTAATTATCCTTGATTTACCCTTAACTGTTTTGATTATATTATTGGTGACCTACCTCCATTTAAGTGTTACTGAAGGAAAAGTTTGTCTTGATTTTGAATGTTAGAGAACCTATTACAAATTATTGTTTTATCTTTTTAACATGAATACACACTTATATATCCACAGATTCCTGGGGCAAAATGAAATACACAACTTTGTTGGTTAGGAGGACATTAGATGTAAAATTCAGGGCAAGTTTTTCAAAGCAGCAGTTCCTGATAGCTACAGACATGCAGTAAGATAACCTAGGGTTATTAGCATGGGGCTCTGTCCTGATAGAGCACCAGACGTAAAACGTAGAGATTATGATGCTATAAAAGGAGAGCATGGTGAACTGCTTTCTAAAACACATCAATTCTACTGTTGAACCTGACTTTTGATTTCCTGGCATGTCCCTCTCAGCCACCTAGACTCCAGCCACCTCTTATGCGTCCTATAGCATCACTCACTCTAGCTCCTCCTCTGACTTATATATCTTGATAATTCTGACATTTTTGGCTGTGTTCTAGGCATTGTGATCATTGTTTTGGACACATTATCTCATTTACTTTTTGAGTACAGCTTGGTGAGGTTGGAACTGTTACCCTTCGTATCTCATACATAAGGATGCTGAGGTTTAGAGAGACGAGGTTTTTTGCCCAAAGTCACATAGTGTGGAAGAAGAAGAGCTGTGACTTGAATCCTGAACTTTTCAAAGGCACATCCTCTGCTTCTAATTATTTTGAGTTACTGTCTACAAATAGCCAGTAGATTAGAATGTCTTGACAGTTCTACCTCTTCCTTACTGCCTGCGTCTACTCTCTCCTCTCCATTTCCACTATCATCATTCTTGTTCTGACCCACATTTTCTTAAATACTGCAGTGCCACCACATTGGTCTTTCATCCACCAGTCTCTAAATGTTTAAATTCATCTTTACATGTAGCAGCTAAATACCTTCTAAGAGCAAAAATACGTGACATCATATTGCACTTTTACTCACAAACCTTCTGTGGTGTCTCTTTGCTTTCTAAGGAAGGACCATCTCTTTAACTTTGAATTAAGCTCCTTCTCCATAGTGGGGCTTCGGGTTGACAGTTGGAGCATTGTTCTCAAATAGGGTCTGAAGTGGGGAGTCCTTGTTTGAGACAAAAGGAGAAACCAAAGGAACAGATAAAGCCAAATTCTATGTCAGAGAACTAGGGTCCAAGGTGTCAGGAGGGAAACCCAGAAGAGGGCAAATCTAGTTGGATGTGTGTGTACATTGAATCGACCTGGAATAATTTTCTAGATTATCAGCTCTATTGGTTTTGTTTTGATTTTGTTTTTGTTTAACCCTATTTGCTTTTATTTGCTAGCAGCCATGTGAGGGATCCTGCTGTAAAGGAACTGAGATGAAGTAGGCAGGCCTTGGACTCAGAGTTCTTCACAGTTATCATCCCCCACCCCCAAAACTCCCCTTCCTGTTCCCAGTAGTGTAACCACATGGGCCGTTTAGCATTTTATACATATACCTCCTGCCTTCCCTGGCTCCCCTTTTTTTTTTTTTTTCCCCCTCTGGCCTTTTCTCTTGCTATTTCTTCAGTAGGCAATAGCTCCCAATGGTTTTCACTTGCTGAAAGCTTGCTCTTCCTTCAAGACCCATTTCAAGTGGCACCATGTCCATGAAGCTCTGTTGCATTTGTTTGGCTGATCATCAGAGTGATTATCTCCTCCTAAGAATTCTCACAGCACTATTTATGTGTCTCTTTATCCCTTACCTTGTAATGAAGAGTTGTGACTTGAACTTTGATTCATTCAGATGCAGATACTGCTTCTGTTTGATTTACCACCTATAAATAACCAATGGGTTGTCACATCCTGACAATTTTACCCCCTTCCTCCACTCCCATCTCTTAAATTCTTTGAGTCCACTTATTAGCTGTGTGATCTTGTGCAAGGGTTTTGACCTGCCTGAACCTCAGATTCCTTATCTCTCGAATGAGATAACAGTACCTATTTCCTAGTGGTTAGGAAGATTAATTGAGATAACATACATAAAATACCCAGCACAGTACCTCGTGCAAAGAATTGATTGAGGACTAGGAGAGAAATTTAAGTCAGGGACCGTAGACCACACACTCGTACTTAGAAATGAACTGGAAGAAACCTGTGTCTTTCTGTGTAGAGGAAGCCATGTTTTTCAACAATTGGATCTGAATGCCTTTCACACATTAAGCTGTCTTCTAGTCAGGAAGCTGAGGATGTTTATTAGATTATCTTGTGATGGCCTTGAGGATGAGTTGTCCTGGAAAGTCCAGTAATGTGGGAGCCTGGCCTCTGGAGGACCTACATGTTTCTTATCCAGTGCTGAGGCCACCAAGTCATCATCCTCTCATTCTCTCAGCAGACTGTTTTGTCTTTGCCTTTACGATTTGACATTAAATGCAAAAAGATTGTTTCAGAACTTGCTTCGAAGTCGTCTCAGTCTCTGAACACATCTGTCTCCAAGCCCAGCTTAGCTTTGAGGAGGTCATCCCGCTCAGCTGCTAAGCAGACCATGTTCAGTCTAACTTTGCCTCTAATTGTGCAGTGACCCTTCTCCACACTCAGGGGAAACTTCAGACTAATCAGATTAGAAAATGTCTCATTCCCATTCCCCTCTCCCTCCAATATGCCCTGCCATGATTTGGGTCACATGCTTGGTGTTTTGCATCATCTCTGCAGATTCCTTTCAAAGACTGCCCTAATTCCTAATGGGCCCATCAGCCTGCAGCTTACATTTATATTCTGCATTCTTATTGTTCCCCACAGACTCCACAGGGCTTTACAGAGCCCTGACCAGAGTCTCTTTCTGCACAGCCCTCCTTATGGCACGCTAAGCCAGAGCCCCCTCTGACGTCTGCAGTCTCCCGTGGGAGGCAGGCATGGAGCTTGTTGACTTTGTTCAATGCACGCTCTTGCCCAGTAGTAGTTTTACCTGCCTTGGGATGAAGCTGGGCAGCTGTTGAGCAGCCGTGTAACCCTGCTGTGTGAATTCAGATCAGGAGATGAAAAACAATATGGCTAAAGGGTTGGATGCTTTCTTTCACCCAGTAATTGTTACCCTTGTATTTCTCCTAACCCTATATTTTGGTACCAGGATTTTACTTCTACCCCATTCCCATTTTTCTTATAATTCAGCTTGGCCTTTTCCTATTATGTTAGCATAACTCAAACTGGAATCAAGACTTCAAAATCTTTTTGTATCTGGTTACGTCAGCCCCTGTCAGTTTGTGCTGTGGGAGCTGGTATAAGGTCACCTTACTTACCAAGCAAATTCATTTCATTAATGTACAGAGCATCAGACTCAAATGTTCTTATAGTGGTAGCGATTATCCATTAATAATAGGAGTGACACTTTGTATTGATGTAGTGCTAAGGGCCTTAGAATATTCTGCAAATTTTTGAGCATATTAAAAGGTACATTTTAATTGACAGTAGGCATTATTCCTCATTTCATAAGTGTAAACTCTGAGGTATAAGGAGAGTCTTTCACTGAAGACTGTGCTCCAGGCCAAGATGAGCCTCTAATGGAAGTAGAACTACAACTCCCTAAGATACTCTAAGCCTTTGCCTCTATCTGAGCTCCTGGGGGTAGGGACTAGATCTCATTCATTTTGCAGCCTCAAAGACTTGTCCTGTGCTAATGCACTGCACATGGGGGAGAAAAACATGGGCTTGGTATCCACCAGAGCTGCTCCTGCCTCTGCAGGTCAACTCTACTGCTTCTTGGCCATGCGATTCTTGGGCATTTACTCAACACCTCTGAGCCTTCATTTGGATATTAATGTTCCTCTGTAATAATAAGCAAGAAATTCTGATTTTTAGATCGTAAGAGGTAGAGGGAATTCTGAAGTCATTCCATGTATTCTTTGTGGGACTGGGAAGGAAAGAGGCAGCCTTCTCCCCTAATTGTGGCCTTCTGAATCTAGACTTGGAATAAGTAGAGATTCAAGTGCAACTCTTTCCCCAGCAGCTCTGTCCTGAGCTAGACTTTTATAGTTGGCTTTGGGTTCCATGGAATGCCTTAGAACTGGCCTCCCAAGAGAGCTGGTGCCTCATCCAGAAATATCAGTTAAAACGGAAAAAGTTAACAGGGCTTTAAAATCATCTCATTATAGTCTACCCAGCCCTGCCCCCTGCCCCGCTCCCAGAGGCAGGGTTAGGGCTCCTGTGATTTCACCCAACAATACCTGGCAGTGAGGGTGAAGGGCAAGGGCTGAGCCATGTGGTAGCTATTGTGGCAGAGTGTTTGGTGTACTGATGAAGTTTTCAGAGAGAAGCCCCTTCTCTCTATCTCTCCCTTTTTTCTATTTTGTGTGCTCTCTCCTCTCACTCTCTCTGTCTCTTTGTCAGACACATCCACCCACCCAGATGCTTTCTACCTTTTCAAATATAAGGGAATTTCTAGTTGAAAAGATTTTTCTTTTAAATCCCAAACCATGTGGACAAACAGAGCATTGACTCTATGTACAGTCCTTACCTGGCAGCTGTGACTCACCTCACAGAGATCTGTGCTGTAGTCAGAATTGGAATTTAGAGGCATGACTATTTAGAGATAACCAGAGTTACTTGTTGGCAACTTGACGCAGGGGCCCAGAGCTCCACCTCTTCTCAAATGTCTGGCCTTGATGACTTTTACCAGGTGTTTCAGGATGCACCCCTGGGTTTGTTGGGTAATGGACTGAAACCAAATACAACTGAGTCAAAAATGGATCTTCACCATCTTCTCTCCCTTCCAGATCATTCCCCTAAATGATAGGGTGACCTTTGCAATAGAGGAGAAGAAGGCTCCTCTTCAGCAAAATACAGCTGCCACTGAGCCTTTTACCTCTACCAAGGGTGGAAATAGAGCAGCTCAGGATTATTCCCCATAGCAA